AAAAATGAGAAATGTTTCGACGGTATCTGTGGTTCCATTAATTGCAGGTTTAACTTTTCTTGGAACAAGTCCAATGATCTCTTCATACAATTCATTTAGTCTCACCATTAGAAATGTACTCCACACTCTTCTTAACCTGCCATCTATTAAAATCATTTCAATTTAATTTCAGTTATAATTTTCTCTGTAATAACTGAATTGGGTATTAATTCTCTGTATTATTCTGTTTTATATCCTCACAAGATACCAAGGGAGTCATCTAAAGCTCTTAGCTGAGCCCCATGCCACAATCTAGAGGTTCCAGCCCACCCCCAGAAGAAAATAAGCAATTAAGTTATTTAAGAAAAAAACTAGTCCATCAAAGAATGTGAACATGGTCAGGTGCTACACAGACTTACAGTGCAAACTGATGCATGTCTACTCTGGGCAAGTCCCATTGAGTTCAATGGGGCAAATACATGTAGGGTTGAAGCCTTAGAATGACCTAACAGGCTCCGTGTTTCCTTGACGCTTCTGTGATGGTCAGAAGTAAGTTCGAAAGTAAGTTCTTTTCAATGAAATGGGACTTACTTTCAAACAGATATGTATAGCTTTACCCTATAAATGTATCAAAATATTGCTATGTGTTTTCTTTATATTGCTAAAGTACCAAAATAGTTGTTAAGCCTATGAAGGCTTTGCAGGAAAAATGTTTCTAAAAATCCTCTTACCCAAATATAGGGGCTATTTCTTTTTAACCAGGAAGACACATGTTTCAAGGGAGTGCATGTTCTTGGTTTAAGAGTTATTTATGATGAGAACAGGTGCTGTATGGAGTGGAAGTTGTTCCTAATCAGGATATTGTCTTCATTCTACAGTTGGCTCTGAATATGGGATGTGGGATGTGACATTAGTTTCATGGTTTATTGGTTGCAAACAGTAATGCCAAGAAATAAATAAAAGCTATCAATCACATGTCCACTTTTATGATTGAGGCTAGCTCGTAACACCATGCCTGCAGGGACATTCTGTTACACATTGAAGCTTCCACTCCCTGGTGGGAGGAAATGCATTTACAATATTTCAAGGGATTTGAATGGTTCCTTTCAGCAATTAATCCAGAACCACAGTAGGACTCACAAAACAATCCTAGACTTTGGGGCCACCCAATTAAATTGACTGGTTTGGTGAGTCAGGACAGATAAACAAAAACGTCTTCACAACATGCAGAATTAATATGGAAATCATTATCAAAATATGTGGCCTTATATGTGGGCTACTAGTTTAGACAGATTTTAAAAGACAACTAATTGCCTTTGCTAGACTCATGCCCCATGAATTTTTCTTAAGGGTGCAATGTTATTCAAACTTTGGCCAAAAATAAGAGCCTACAATTTGCTGGGAAGCAGGTGCTGAATTGGATGGGCATTGATCTGATGTAGCAGTACTTTTATATGGGGAAGGGCATTTCAAGCATCCAAAGACGTCTTTGAAAGTCTTGCGTTTTCTTTAGGCGTCATCAAGGTTTATGTACACACAACAGGACTGCCAGAAGCAGAATTTCCCACCTCACCTCTTCTCACCTCTTGTAACAATGCTACACAGAACGTCAAGGACCCTGCTGAATGGGATAATCCGTGGTTCAGGGGACTGAGAGGGAAGGGGATGGATCTCTGAAAGTTAAGCAAAGGTACTTTTTGTGAGCAAGCTTTTTTGTGATACTTGGTGGTAAGCATCATAGTAATATGAATATAACCCAATGTATCCACCACTGTATTTTTGGAAACTGCAGTTTGTACTGGAATACATTTATAAAAGATATGCAATGGTCTGGATCCAGACTTCACCTTGCACAAATAGAACGGCTCCTCATGTCTGTAGAAGGCTTTGGATCTAGTGGAGGGATCCCACTAGCAGAATGGGGGAGAATACTGTTTTTGTCTATTCCACCTCCCTCTGAAAACTCCCACTCCCTGTGAAGCCTCTGAAAATGTGGGGAATCTTCCAAAATTGCTTGGGAAGTGGCATGTGGGGGTGCTGCAGCAAGAGGAGAAATGGATGAAAATTGGCTCTCCACCTTTCTCCCAGTAGCGGAACTCCACTTTGGGTGGTGTTGCTGCCATAAATACACTCAGGATCCATCTAAACCAGAAACATTGGTTCAGTCAAGTATTGAAAAAGGTGATCTACCAGGTACTTTGTCTTACATGAGTAACCAAATACTTGGGCCTGACAACCGGTGACTGGTTTTACACATAATTCGGAACCAAAACCACTCTCCCCTTTTACCACTCTTCTATTTCTTTCCCTCTTTCCTTTTAATCTTTTTCTTCCCCCTTCTTCTTGTTCCAATCTTCCCATTATCTCAATTTCTCCTACCCTGGTAGCCTTTCCTGGAAGCAGGCCTTAATATGATCCAAAGCTTGGTCTATGCAGTTTCATAATGCACTAACTTCGGCACTGGTGTACTCTGATCTCCATCTCTTTCACCCTGAAGAAAGTGCCTAGAAATTCTGGTTGGCTTTTAGGTCCGAACTAACTGTGACCTCAGTTATCTGACTTCTTTGCTGACCTATTTATGAAGCATCTGGATGCGGGAGTTGATTAAGCCAGTGGTAAGTTTCTGTGCAGAGAGATAAAGTATGGAACACAACATAATGTATTAATTATTAACAGTTCAACATTATTTTTGAAGTGCAATTCATAATGATTTTGTCACTATAGAATTTGCAGTCTGAGGAGTATCAAAGAATGAGAAGACATTTTATAAATTATAGTTAACATATATCATATCTATCTTCCTTTGTCATTTTCCCCATTTTTGTGCTCTACTCATTAAGTAATTGGAGAACCAATTCTAATTAAACATTTTGTGACTAAGGTCTAAGTTTTAAAACCAATTTTGTCAAATGTTATGAGATTGTTAAGCTCTCTACATAGATCCTAGATTCTGGGTAGTCCTTTCCTAGATATTTGCACAGAAAACGTTAAATAGCTAATCAATCCCCATGTATTATTTCCATTACTAGCCACTTGCATGATCATTTAAATGTTAATCCATGAGAACAAAATATCTTTAGACAGAAGCTCATAATAGAAGTTCTGTGGGCTTTGTTCAGACATAACTCTTGATCCTTCAGTAATACATAAACAAGCCTCAGGCTTGAGCTTTTTCTCTCTTCTAGACTCTTCTTTGACAAGGCTATAAAAATGGGAAGCATCTGCTTCTGTTTTATGCTAACTGTAGTTTTCATTTTGTCACACCAAGAGAAATTATGGTTAGTTTTAACTACAGTTTCAACAGGATAGCTTTAAAACATAATTTCTGATGCTGGTTTGTTGGTGATCCAGTTCTCCAGATCTCCCAACTTCCATCACCTCTGACTAATGGATATGCTGACAAGGTGCAAAAGACAGAATTAAAAACATAACTTGGAATTAAAGTGTCTTCTGAGAATATCTGACCTTAGGAATTTGGCGAATGGGGCGGCATAAAAATGTTTTAATAATAATAATAATAATAATAATAATAATAATAATAATAATTTGTTTCAGCATGAAGTCAATAGTAATTTCACAGAAACATCTTTGCAGGCTATCCCATGCTCTCTCTATATCTGCAGCCTAGTTTAGGTGGAAACTGCCACTTTGCTGCTACTGTTGTTAAATATCTGGAAGTCAGAAACCCTTGCCAAAATACTGCAAAACACCCGGAGACCTAGCAGTAGATCCCTATGTTTTACCCACCTATGATTTGGATGGCGAGAAGCTCCTACTTCTGGGATAAATCATACTTGCAACTAACTACAACTGCTGATATAGACAAAATTATCTTTATTATTACACTGCATGCATATTCTGCCTTTTTCCCTCTTGGGGTGAACCCAGGATGGCTTACACAGCTCCATTTTATCCTCACATCATCCGGGTGAGGTATGTTGGCCTGAGAGTGACTGACTGGCCCCAGGTCACACAGTGAGCTTCATGGGTCCCCAGTCCAACACTCTAAGCACCACACCACACCAATAAAAATCATTAATCAAAAATGGAAGCAGATGCTTCTGGCTTCCTTGCAGCTATGCCAGAGGAGAAAAGGGGAGGGTTAACCTCAAACCAGACACCATGTAACCTATGAACCTCATGTACACACACATCATAAAGTCATGATAATTGGGCACAATTCATGAAGTGGTATCAATATAACTTTAATGAAACTGCAATTTATCAAATTTGTTAAATTACTAAACCAATTATAACACTGGAAAGAGTTAAGCAAACTCTTGAGTGAAAGACCCATTTATTTCAGTTGGTGTTGGACTACTTCACAATGCATTGTAGCCGGCACTGGTTACATTAAAGTTGGCTTCTCTTAGAAACAAATCAGGTCATAGGTACGCAAGGGAAGTTTTAAATGTTTTGAATATAATATTGATATTTTCATTATAAAAGTGACAACTAAAGGCAAAACTGTAGTTAAGTTGGTATTTCTGCAAAGGAAAGGTTCCTTGCAGTGCTCAACACATTTTTTTGTACTTGAAAAACATACTATGCTCAGCACATTTTTTTGTACTTGAAAAACATACTATATTGTTTTATGAGAGAAACTTGGAAGAGTCAGAAATTATATATAATGACATCCAGTGAATCAAATGGGCTTTAAGGGGTAGTTGTATTCCTAGGCTGCATGCGGTCCTATGAAGACTCAGGATCAGATCATGTACATGATTCTTGCCCAGTGACTTATGCATTAATCAATGATCTAAAAGGCAGACTTCTTTCACTGGCATTCAGGGGATAATGGTCCTGCTCCAGCAAGCCCTTTATACTCAGTGCTGAGTATACTCATACACTCGGTATATGAATGTGCATCACATCTCTATACTTTCAGCAGAAGCTATTCTGCCCCGCAAGATAAGCCACTCAGACCTGCTGTTGAGGAACAAAATGTAAACAGCTCTATTGTACATGTGGATCTTGCTGCATGTTTCTTAGGACTGAGCCAATGTATGTGTGTGACCCATTTCATGTGCTTTTGGGGTACCTCAGTTAGTAGGAAGAATGAAAGCACACGTTGATCATAGTTCATGATGCTGTACACGATTTATTCCACATGGGCATAACCATGAGAAATCTAGAAGAATAACAGATATAGCAGTATTATTTATTTAATTTCAAGCCTGCCTTTTGATCCACAGGGGACCCCCAAAGCAGCTCACATAAGCAAAGTACAACTGAAACAACCAACCCAATTCAATTGTAATACAGAATATGTTTGTTGCTGCTGCTTCTCATATACCAAGTACTGATAGCTATAGTTTGATTGCTTCGGTTTGCTATAGGCAAAACAAATGGGCAGGGGTCCCAAGCTTCCCCTTTCAAAGCAGTTCTCTTGAGTTCTCTGCCATGACATGACTGATCACCTCTTTAAATATAAGCATTTGCCACAATATGGGTGAGCTCATCATATACAAATCGTGTTTACTGATAACAAATAAAATAATGGTCACAGTCACAAACTACTTATTCAGGAGTACCCTCCTCATATTTAATAGGACTACTCCAGTATAACACAGTTCAGGTTTTGCAGCCATTCACTTGACTGTTTTCTATCATCCTACTTTACAGCTAAAAGAGATGAGCAGAAGCCTCCAGGATATCATCTGCTCCCTGGTGAAAATCTACAGATATGGCACAGGGATAGGTTGGACAGAGCATGGCTGGAACGATTATAACAAAATTTGAACTTAGGCAGTGATGAGGAGACTGGGAAGCTGCTGAGAAAAAGGCTAAACACCACTGCTTATGGACATTTTTTCTTCTCTAGCAACAGCGTAACTATACAAATGCTTTTTAAAAAAATAATTGTGCACAAGATAAAGGACTGATTTATGCTGTACACTCCTTTATTTTGTATAAACATATCAACACTTGCACACTGTTGTAATACTGTATTTATAGCTTATAGTATTTCAGTACATACAGTATTATGTCCCTCAAGGTGCAATTTATTAAAAATCATGCTATAGTTCTTTTCAATTTCTTTGGCACATATACTGGCTTAGTTATGGAATACAAAAGTTTAAGACTGAGTTTGTCTAATGCTACAGAATTTTTTAAATGTTTACTGATAGTAATTAAGTGCATTTTTTCAGTTTGACACAAGCTTATTTATAAAAAAGGTCCTTTGAATTTTTGTTTTCTTACAAGTTAGATAGCTAACTTGTAGTGTGCAAGGCAAAAAAGTTTCTATTTTGCAATAATTTTTGTCCCTAGAAAATGGAATTACACCAAGAAAATACCTATTAAGTATTTAATAAATTGCTTATTATGGAATATTTTAATGAAATCACATGGCTAATCTGACCACTATTGCATTTGGAACACCTGTAAGATGCTGATTATTATTCACCTTTCAAGGGGCATATACGGGCAAAGTTGGATTGCATTCAACAATTCCTCCAGGGATTAGAACTCTTTCCAACAATGGAATTGGGAGGGTGCAATACCCTCTAACAGTCCTTTCCAAAACTGGTCCAAAGGACAAAGTGACCCTCAGGATAAGATTTTGAGCAAGTGGGTAATGACAAAGGGGAGAAGGAGAAGAGAAGAAGAGGAAAAAACCCTGTTGCATGAATAGGTTCTTTTCATTTTACTCTCTGTTTTTATTTTTATGTTTTTCCTCCTAGAGCTGATAAATACCAGTAGTTCTGAAGTTGTTCTGAAGTTGTTTGCCACTTCCCAAAGACTAATATATCAAGAAAGAGAAACAATCAAATTCAATTTGCAGCAAAGCTGATTAGCTTAGCAGTCATCGGTATAATTTAAGATGGAAAATAATACATAACAACAGAATTCCTTATGTGATAATTAATTTCCAGTTTCCATAATAATTTACTTTAAAAATACATACACTTTCAAAAAGTTAACACTTACTGCAAGGTTATTGTCTCTTTTTCCTATTTAATTAACTACAAGAATGAATATTTTGGCACAGAGTCAATTGGTAGAGAAAGATGTAGTTCCAATAAGGTGAAGGATTTTTGTAAAAGAATTCCATGCACAGAAAAGCTGAATGGAAAACATAGAATGATGCCTCAGAAAACATCCTTCATTCATTGTCACAATTTATGAGCATGCTCATTGCAAGCAGATATCTACATCGCTCAGGAATATAACACGACTTTTAAAAAAATACGTATTTAACAATCTCTTTTTCATAAATCTGCCCACAATGATCAAATGCTGCAAACACTGTCTCTATATCAAAGGAACACATTTATCCTCTTAGCTTACTACATGATTTCATGTGTGATAATGTCCTTCACAGCTCCTATGCATGTATGGCTAGGTAATCTTAGCCTGCTGTAGTGCAGAATCTTAAATAGGTTGGGTCCCCTGTTGTTTGGTCTTCATATGAGCATGTATCTATGCTGAGAATGCACCTATGGTTCTATACTGGGGCTCCTGTAGAAACCTCCAGAGCTCTGAACATGTTGGCTGCTCCCGCCCCAAATGACTGGGTAGGAAGAGTGGCCACTGTCTCAGTTGTGGGGAAATGTAAATAGCAGCTTGCCTGCACAGGAGCAGCAGCTGAGGGGAGCATGTGTGGGAGGCAGAGAACATGTGTCCCTTCCCTTTGTGTTACAGCAAGTGGGGTCAGAAGTGTCAGGGGCCCAGAATAGGGTTCATGGTAGAGCCTTCCATGTCCTTTAATCCAGTGTGACTCCCCTGTCAGTCAATGAGCTTCAGAATTGTGATGTCTGGGTGAATGATATGGTGTCAGATTTATCTATGGCAAATGCTCCATTCACATAGGATTTCTTGGTCTCTGTTTCCTCACTGTCAAGCATTGTTGTTTCCAAGGCAAAAGGATTCACTATGTTGACTTCAGAGCTGACATCCATCTGCTCCAGTTCGTTTTTGGAGAGCTTCTCTACAATTCCAGTTCCAAAGGCATCACCAAGAACATTCACCATTGTTCTGAATCGATCCCTACAGAAGAAATATAGTGGGTCACTCAGGGCGGGTGTGATTGGATACAAATATCTGTAGTTCACAGGACCAACTTTGCAATTAATGGGACCATCCTAGAACCAAATCAACATTAGGAGAAGAGCACACTGAAAAGCTCAGCTTTAAAAATGGTAGTAATTTGTATTTTATTTTTACAATCTTTCAACAAAACCAAATATCAGCAAACCCCCCCTCCCTGAGAATACAAAACAAGAGTAAAAACACAAACACATATACAGAAAAAAGGGAACAAATAAGAACACAAACACAAGAAAGCATATATCCACAGGGATATATGAAACTGACTTGAAAGTATTACTAATAATAGCTATGTATACATATATGCTCACACATATCCATACACATTGTCAAAGCTGTAAAAATCTGAATTTCAAGCACTATGTTCCAAATTTTAAAATCTGCATTTCAAAATGTCAACATGTGCCACCTTAAGCTCTAAGTGAATTCAGTTTTTAACCACATTGTCCTAAGGGGCTGCCATTACAAGATTGCAGCACCTGGTCTATCCTATGCACTGCCACACAACTTGCTGCCTTGCTGGGTGGTGGTGGTGGTGGCAGCTAGCAATGGAGTAAACAAACTGCAAAAAGCACCTCATGTTAGTCCCCTCCCAACAGACCACCTGTAATAGTTGAGGGGGGAAAGTTGGGGTACAAATAGAATAATTTCTTGTCCTTAAGACATGCCTCCAATAAACTGAGAAGGGTCTTTTTAAAAGGTGCTTATTTGGTGAAGGAATGTTAAGCAGTTAGCAGAAATTCCCTTAGGCTGACAGGGACATTTAACCTTGCACATTCTAAATGACTGCTAATGAGTTACTTTTCACAGACTGAAAGATTATACATTTGAGGCAATAAGTGAAACACTGATAAGGAACATGGCACCATGGTGTGACCAATCTGCTGAAGTGATAAATGCTTTGGCTATAGTTCCTACTGCAGATAATTACAATGTCATTTGCTTCCTACAAAAAGAATGTTGCATTTTAAAAATAAGTGCAGCAGATGGGATTACAAACATACATCCCCACTTCAAAAGTAGCTGGTTACAGGCAATTATTGCGACAATGCATTTACTATCTTATTCAGTCAAATCTGCATGGAAAAAGGATTTAATGGGCTGTGGAAGTGAATGCTACATCTTCCATTTGTTAATATTGTTACTGAGTGTTAGGGAAACATTAACATGGTTGTGAAATACCCCAACCACTTCCAGCAAAAAAACCATTCTTTCATTGATTACGCAATGAAACAAAGTAACCCCAGTTGATTCAGTATCTAATTTCCCACTGCTAGGTAGACATGTGCTCTGTGCATTCCCTTGCACAGCATCCAACAGTTGCATCTTGACTGGTGGGAGAAGAGCTGTGGGTAGCTGCTGCATTGATTTTAGTACAATAATTATACTCATCCAGCACCCAATTTCCATTTTACTGCAGATTTATGTGCGGCTACCAAACACCTGTAGGTGTCTTGTATGGTTTCACACTGGACCTATTCACAGACAGTTTCACCAAAATGCAAGTGTTCAGTTTCTCATGGCACACAAATTGTGAAAACACCTGTATAATACATAGGCCTGTACAAATATAACCAGTGTTTCAGTAATGCCTCAATCACCCTTTTTTTTTAAAGCCCAATATTTAGAGGGGTGCTATTTCTTTCCCTTTTATGGCAGGGGGTAGGGGAAGGATCTTATGTAGCAAGGTTCTTACATCCAGGAACAAGTAACCAGGTGCATACTTCTGTATTTATCTTTCTAGCCTAAAACTCCAGAAATTTACTTTGCAATGACCACTGTGCCTAATGTCACTTTGTGCTAGTACATGATACAACTCTTTAATTTCAGTCACAGCTTATATGTCCACCACCTACTTAAACATTATTCCTACCAACAGATACAAGTCAGGGCAGGAGACAATAGTGCGCTGGCACCTGCCAGGCCCTCTTCCTCCTTCACCGGACCCCTTCCTCATCCTATGCTTAAACCAGCCCCACTTTTGCCATCTCCGTGCTCATCTGAGCAGCCAGGAAGCAGAGAGTCAGCAAACTGGGAGACCTGCTTCCCCAGCTGCCAGTTTCCTGCAGTGGTACTGGCAAGCAGAGGTAATGCAGAGGAGCAGGTAGAAGGGACAATGGCAGCAAGAAATCTGCAGGAGGAATGCCAGTAGCAAAGCATCAGACCAGGAATGACGGTGGACTGTAGTGGGCCTCAGCGTGGTGCCACGGAAGGCCCCCAGCCTAGTGCCAACCTCATTTTACTGGCACTCTGGTTCCCTTGGTCCCCAGTGCTCCCAACCATCACTCTGCAGCCCGGTGGCTACTTGCTGCCATTGCCAGGCATTCACCTCCCCTTGGACATGTTTACCCCAACTATGACATTTATTTTGGATGCAGGGCTACTGCAGACTTGAGTGGCAGCTTCATACTGTTAAGGGGGACAAACGGGTGGGAGATGAAACCGTGAATGCAGCTGCAGGTAGGTGGCATCATGATAGGTTGGAGGGGACTGTGTGTGCCCAGGATCTTGGCGGATGTTTAGTGGTCAATTAGGAAGGGCTGGCTCTGAAGCAAAGGGAAATTAAATCATTTTACCAATGCATGGCATCTTGGTTTAATTATAAAGCTCAAAATACATTTTGCCTGATGCACAGCCATGGGGATTGAGGACTGAAGAAGAAAGAGAATTATCTCTGTGCTCCTATTATCTTTCATCTTTATGATGGGCCATGTTTACTTTCTCCCATGGAAGTGAATGGCTTCAACTGATGTCCCTGAGAAGTAAAGGAACTGTGGTTGGGGATACTGCTGAGGCAGAGAAAGAACCAGCCATTCCTATTCTAGATGCTTGTGACCAAAGCATTACAAAGGAAGTGTATTTTGTCTGTTTCTCATTTGTGTCCAAAATGGACCTATACATATTTATGTAGAAGTCAGTGGGGACACTTGACTTGTGTGGAACAGAAGCTGTGAACCAAAACATCCACCAATGCTCATCAACACCGTCTCTTAAATCTAGACATGTGACATCAAAATTCTGCATCAATGAAATCAGCAACAATAAAAGCCAAATTCTTGTAACTTTTTGCAAATTAAGCCAAGAGTTATGTAGGACAATTGACTGACCTGTCCCCAACCCAAATCTCCAATATGTCTTCTCAGCATACCCCCTGGTACTTAGATTTCCACCAAGAAAGGAGGACACCCTTTTTCTATTTCGTATATGCCTCTTTCCTTCTTCCCTTCATTCTAGCCATTACTATTCTCCTTGTTCTCAAGTATCCTGATTACATAACTTTACCATGTTTAAAACACTGGCCGCATGAATAACATTGCTTTGAGTTGTTGCAATGTTTCCATACATGAGGCTCAAATCAGTTTTATTTAAAATTAGATCCTACTGCAAATGTAAAATCTACACTGACTGAGATGCACAGTCTTCCAAACTGCTTCCCTCATCAACAATATTCTTATGTGATGCAAACGCCACAGGAGAGTCACATAGGAAAAGGTCCTTAGTAAACTATCATTATCAGGGTCTATACTCCCATACTTGTTCTCCTTTGGATTATCAGAAACCATCGGTGAACTAAAGAGTATTTCTTTGCAGGGCTGTGAAAACTATCTTGCATATTTTGATATAAATCAGATGAATAGTAGAACTTGCTCGAGTTACTGATCTAGCAGTTTACTTACCACAAAATAAAAAAGCAAATATTTAAGACCGCAAACTTACAGAAGCCAGTCCACTGCTATGATGAGAGTAACATCTTCAGCAGGCAGCCCAACTGCACTGAGTACAATCACCATGGTGACTAGTCCGGCTTGTGGCACTCCTGCTGCTCCAATGCTAGCAGCTGTTGCTGTTACACTACATCCAGAATCAACACAAGGCCATCAGAGACATTTCTGAATTATTCAGGCTTATGCTATCTTTAAAAAAAAATCTGAGTGCCAAATCCCTTATTTCACCAGGAATTTGCATGTAGTGTATGTCAGTTTAAGAACCCTACAAAATTATCAAAGCAATGCACCAGCTGGACTTCTTACGTATCAATGATCTTTCTTGCATCATAAAGCTACTTTTGGGCAGATCTGGAAGGGAACACTATGAATTACCTGCTGGAACTCTGCACTCCTGCACTGGGGCCATGTTAGATTTAAGTGATACTGGTGAGAATCAAAAAGTCTGCTCTTTCATGTATCACAATTAAGTAGCTGAGTGCAAATCTGTTGCATTGCAGGGTATTACACCATCAGGGTTTTTTAAACTAATACAATAGTATTTTAGAGAAAATGAAGGCATGACACATGATGGAAACAGGCTTGTTTGTTTTACTTACTTACACTACAACCAAACAGGTAAGCATTCACATTCTTGAAACTATGTTTTACAGGTTATTAATGAAATAAAATGAGATATTCCAGAATACACACAACAGATAATAAATGATCCAGTATAGTGGTTTGTAATGTATTGACTGAAGTGGGAATGTCTCTTGGGAAGAACAGGACATGTGAATTTAAAAAAGAAGCAGGGGGAAATGCTATGGGAAGTTATGGCATTTATTCATTTATTTTAAGGCATTGTATTTTGCTGTTCTTCTGTAGAAACAGTGCTGAGGGAAGCGTGCCACAACATGTCGGGAGCGCCAGCCCAGATCGTCAATGAAAAGGAAGTCTGCACATACACGGCATGCACTCTTATTGCTTCAGGCACTATTAAAAATCATTCAAGGGGTCTGATCCGCACAGTGAGAGTTAGAAAGCTTGTACGCAAACACACACGGAAAGCCTACAATAAATAAAGCACCTCAATCTAAAAACTAAGGGCATTAGACTATACTGCCAGCTGCTATCATTACTGGAAGTGAGTGGCTCCTGAAATAATTAGAGGCAAGCAGAAACTGTAGCTGCTTACTTTGTTGCACTCTGGGTGACCATTTGTGAAATCACACATACGCATTTGGCAGCTGCTCAGAGCAGTCATTCAGAACCTTCTTGGGTTGAACCAAGCTTCTGGGTGAGAGCCTTGACTGCCCCCACCCACCACATGCGTGCTTACAGCAGAGGTACAAAACAGGAGTGAGACATCCAGTGAGGAGGAGGATGGGTTGTGTGGGTTCACAGATGACTACTTGAAGAAGTACAGCTACAGTTTCCTGTTCTCCTCCTCTGTGATCACTGTGATTCACACACGCAGGTAATTCTAAGCAGTCTTACTGGAAAAGGGAGATGTCAACATAATTGACGGAAGGCTTCACTTTCTGAAGGCTTCCTGAAGGCTGCATCCATATAAGCTCTGGTATCTAGGCAGAGGAGCTTGATCAAAGTTGAAGGCTGGGCCCAAGTTGCAGCATTACAGAGTTGAGGGAGCAGGAGGCCCCTGAGGAAAGCAATAGATGAAACCACAACTCTAGTCAAGTGGCTGTGGACATGTTCAGGAGCCAAGAGGTATGCAAGTTGGTAGGTGAGCAGTATAGTAGATCAGACCCAGTTGGAAAAGTACTGTGTGGATACAGGGTGTTTCTTCCTAGGGCCAGAATGTGTATGGCAAATAGAAGGAGAAAACACTCCTAACATCAAGGAAACTTATCTCCACCTTCAATGGAGAGGCAGGTTGGGGGAGTCCAGTTGTAAGACAACCTTATCCCTGTGGAAAATCAAGGAAGATTGGGGTAGACAGCAAAGTCTCCACAAATGCCAGAAATTTAAGATAGTTAATGTGTGCATTTTGCCCTCAGGGGGACCAATGGACATGTACTCTGAGAAAACCACAATGACCCCTCAGCCAAGAGAAACTGTGGAAACAGCGCTCCACTGAGAGATTCAATGGAATGGCCAGAGTTTTGGTTTTGAAAAGAATGGTTCAAGAGGTGTGCCAAGGAATCTTGTGTGGGAGTTGAAGACTCTATGAAACCAGAACTGTAGCAGAGTCACATGAAGGGGGCATGAGGGGTCACAGAAGCAGCTATGGTTGCAGTTATGAGGCCTAGGAAAAGTTGGACAGAATTTCAGGACCAAGAGCAGGAACTGATGTTGCATGTCAAGTGTCTTAGGATATCAGCCCTCTCGACTGGTAAGTGGGTTTTAGCCGGTTACAGAGACTACACGGGCCACTTTGAACTGATGAGTTTGGGAGGGGATGAGGCAAGATTTATCCTGGTTGACCTGAGTCCCAGTGAACTCAAGAGATATGAGGCAGCCCTGATGGAAATGGCTGTTTGGGAAAGTGACAAAGAACCAGTTGCTTAAATGTGGGAAGATAAATATTCCCTGCAGTCAGAGGAATGCTATCAGTCTGGCCATGCATTTTGTAAGACTCTTGGTGCAGTGGAGAGGCCAAATGGGAGAATTTGGTAATACCTGTTGGCTAGGAGGAAGCAGGGGAAGTGACAAGATATGGGATGAATGGGATATGGAAACAGGTCTCACAGACACAGACTGTGGCAAGCAAGTTTTCACAGTGAAGTAGAGAAGGTATAGAAGAGTCATCATCTGAAAATTCCTTAGTCTAATAAGGAGAAGAAAAAAATCCCCAAAAGTTTCTGAGGTGAAATAATTCTTTCTATCTTTTCCTTCTCCAAGAGTATAGCAATTTCTTCCATGAGTGTGGGGGTGAGGTGGGTGGTACAACAAATTCCATAGGCGGGGTCAAAGGTGTAGCTGTCCCTGATGATTGAAAGAACCCATACATGCATGTTACACACTCTGTGTGGGACTGCCTTTAAAGATACTTCAGCTGGTGCACAATGCAGCTGTGCTAATGGGCGCAAGGTGGTCAGATGCTAGGATGCCTCTGCTGCACCAGCTGCACTAGTTGCTAGGTCAATTCTGATTCCAATTTAAAGTGCCAGGGGCCTTTTGCCAGGGACTTTATGGGGCTGACTAGTAAAATTGTTTCAGTGGGCAATTTATTGTAATGCTTTATGCTCAGTTTTAGTGTTATTGTTTGGCCTTTGTTAGTCATTAAGCTGTTAAAAATAAAAACAACAGCTAAAATCTAGTTAAGCAGAGTAGAGAGGACTCTTTTATCCTACAGATGGCCTATAGAAGTGCATGCACCAATGAAGAATAAAAGACAGCTGTGTTGACCAGATTGCAATGCCATGAAAATATTAATGAGGCTATTAGGGTCAATGAGTTTTCAATGCCATACAACTCCATGGGATCCAAATGCTCAGATCCTTGTGTGTGCTAGAGAATCCAATCATTATTCAGCTGCCTACCTTGTTTATGCTTTCTATGTGGCTGTAGATTTTGCTGTCCTCTACCAATGATTCTATTTTAAACAAGACATGATTGTGTAATTGTATGCATTAAGCTTTGTGTAATTGTATGCATTAAGCTTTGTGGATAAGAAAATCAACAGTATTTCGCCAAATGAAGAAAAACACGTTGGAGTACAGTTCTTACCTAATCGTCACTATTTGGCCAATATCTAGCTCTAAGTCATTGAGCTGTGCAATAAAAACAGCAGCCACTGCTTCATACAGGGCGGTACCATCCATGTTGATTGTAGCTCCAACTGGTAAAACAAATCGGGTAATTCTCTTGTCAACATGGTTTTTTTCTTCTGCACAGCGAAAGGTGACAGGTAAAGTGGCTGAACTGGATCACACACAATGGAAAAAATAAAGAAAATATTTTAAGAAGCAAGGAGTAAAATGCCACTATTTGCCTATTAATTTAGCAACCAAGAGACCAACTTGTGCCATGTAGGAGCTACACCCAGTAGAAATCAAAGTGTGAGATTTACCTCTAGAATCATAGCAATTAAATACAGAAAAAGTTTAACAATTCCTTTAGTGCTTTCTAGTAATTACAAGATAAGAGAAGAAATTTCATTATCCTTACCTGGAGGAAATCATGAGTGCTGTCAAAAGTGCCTGAGCCATTCCTATTGCAAACTTATATGGATTTTTCCGTACTATGATTAAGTATATTAGTGGCAAAATCACAACAGAATGAATTGCAAGTCTGAAAGAGGAAACAAATATTAGATATTACTTGGTAATAACATTTTAGCAAAAGGTGTTTATAGATTTATTTATGTTAATTTAATGTATACATCCCACCTTTATCTATGAGGGACAAGTGGTGATGTACAATAAAAACATTAAAATTTCACATAAAATGAGAAATACAAGAGCAAAACCACAAGAACCACATGATAAAATTTGAGAGAAATGTTAAGACTATAACTGACGAGTGAGGAAACATTAAACTACAATAAAAACCCAATGGAAGAAGCCAATCTCACCACCTTCTGGAGGGAATTCCACAATGGCTGGGTTCAGATAGCATCACAAGCCATGGTCGCTTTTTCTATTGCTGGTTTGTTGTGTTGTCTGACCCCAGTCATTGTATTTCACCACAGTAAGTTTAGTCTGTAGAAATCATAACAGTTTGCTCTATGGTTTCTTTGTACCACTATGGCTTGTCGTGAGGTCTAAACTCAGGATCACGGTTTTCAATGCCACAGAATAACCTGGAAAGAGCAACCACTGTAGCAGTCACTTCAGCCATCCATTCTCCAGGTGCAGACCAACGAGGATGCAGCAGACAACATGGGCAAGGAGTAATATACCTTGGACTGAATTTCATCTGCGGTAGCAGGAGGACTCATAAGATGAATAGAAACCATAACAACATAGAAACCACTCTATTATCTGTCAAGCAGATCATTTAAACATCATGAGCCATGGTAATCATGCAGGAATGCTTGCTCTGCAAGGAGTTTAGCGGGGTTCAGTGGGTAGTGTACTGAACTTTCCCAATGTCCAAAGGCAAACTTTCCCAGCGTCCATGGCTTTTTGAAAACATGCCAAGGCCACAGGGGCTTCAGCATGTTAAAAAGAGTACCAGAGATCATTTCTTTGAAGTTGCCTTCCCAACCATTTTGCAGGTAAGGTCCATCTTTGCAGTGAGAATGAAACTGTTTATCCTATCAAAACAACTTTGTTCCCAGGAAGTGGCAGGCAGCCTGGATGCATCCTGACAGGTTCTCCAGTAGTGGGAGAGAGGAACCATACAAAATCCATGGCAAAGGTGCTACCTTTCATTCTCATTTTGGGGGATAAATTGACACGCTGCTCACCCAAGCACTTTTGAAGGCCCATGGAGCACCCCAGCCTATTCAGGGAACCAATAAGCTACAAGTAAGAGGAGTGTGAGCTTTCTTTTGCTTGTTTATTAGTCAACTGTGTAATCAACTTTTACACAGATGGTTTTGTGCCTTCCTTGAAGCTAAACTAGGGTGCCTTGGCTAGATCAGGCCTCTGTAGTCAGAACAACAGGCAAGTTCATATAGAACATGGAAAATGCTGCATTTCTCATTCAATATATTTTCAACACAGCACAGTGAAATTACAGAGTTTATAAGAAGAAACAGATTTCTTGTATCAATACATTTTATTGTTATTTAAGAAATAACATACCCACTTAGTACAGTAGCCATATAAAGACCCAATTTGCGGAAAATTTCCCAGTCTTCAACTTCTATTATCTTTCCAGCAATCAGAAATAAAATACCCAATGGCATATACCTAGAATACACAAAACATCATTTAAAAAGTATTCCATGATAATTTGTCATGCAATACTTTACATGTCTACTCAAAAGCAAGACCCACTGACTTAAATGGAGCTTACTCCTAGGAAACTGTACCAGATACAATGTTTTACCTCACAGCTTCACTAGAAATAATGCTTAGGTTGCAATCCTAGTACAAGGATTGTAAACACCCAAACTCAGATGCTCACAGGCATCCAATGCAGTGTGGGAAGAGCAGCAGAGACAATAATTGCCTCCCTGTTGCTTTCCCAACCTCAGGGAGCCAATTGTGAGGGGGTGGAAAAGATTCCCAGCTCCAAGGTCAGAGTGCTGACTCCAGCCTCAGATCTGGGGCCCTGAAGTATCCTATTGCTCCTCAAAGGTTGTGTAGGTGCCACTGGAGTGCTCCCTCTATTTGTGTAACTTGTCTCGTATCTTACAAGAAGTGGGAAGAAACCAGCTTAACTTGCTGCTAGGAGTAATAGTTATGAACTATAGAACCAATTTTACATAAAAAGTCATTAAATTGAGTGAAGCAACACCGTAATTTGAACTTCTATGCATAGTTCTTTGTATATAAAGATTTGCAACTTGGAAAAAGAGTACATAATTGTCCAACTGGGATTCCTTTGCATAACTGGGCAGAACAAAAAATGAACCTCTGATTAACAAGAATTTGGTACTTAATCCTATATTGCTTAGGCCTAAGAGAGCCACATGAGCTCCTCTCTGTTTATTAATATAATCAGTGGAAACTTCCTTTCTTGGAGGGTAGGTTGGAGGTTACGTGGGACAAAACTATGAATGAGAAATTTCTTCCCCAAAGACATTCTCTTGTCTTCATACACTTTTTAGAGACTTATCAAGAGCTATCTGTCCTGCCAAGCCATTGAGCAGAGCCAGTTTTCCAATTTCATAATACTGATATAGTCATTTAACTGTATGATTTATTTTGATTGACTGAGTTACCGATTGTGGATTCTTCTGTTAGTTTCTGTTTATTTAATTGTAATTCATTAACCTACAATTCTCTCTCTTTTGGCAAAATGGCAGGATCTATGTTTTAAATAAATATTTCTTCATGCCCACAATTCATAATGTTGGATCCAGAGTTAGTCATGATTAGAGCAGACCTACTGAAATCAATTGGATAAGTTACTGGCTAACCTGTCCTGCTGATTTCAATAGATTGATGCTTGCCTTCCTCAACCTTTTGCCCTTCAGTTGTTTTGGACTTTAGCTTCCATCACAACCACACATCATGGTCAAGGGCCAGGAATTCTGTAGTCCAAAATATTCAGAGGGAACCAACCTGAAGGAAGCTGATCTCCACTATGTGTGACTAAATATAAATCCATCATAATTATGAATACAACTATCATCAAAACAGTGATTATTCATACTATTTTGTAACTCTGTTTATTAAGGCTTGTGTGCAAAATAGTCTCTAAAACATAATTTACAACATTTACAAAATATCTACTACTTTGGACATCTTCCAGGTTTCTATTCTATATACCATCAGAGTTATTTTTTTCAGTCTTGATGTTTTCACATCAATTTACCCTACATTTTAAAACTCTTTTTTTTAACAGGGAGAAGGCCATTAATAATTTTGACTTTCCAATTGTTTTTCCATATATTTCTTTGGTACAGTAAAAATGATTCTGTTTTGCTGAAGTCAGTAACTAAACACTCAAAGTGCTACTGAGAAAATATCATCTTACTTACCACATTATTATCTGAACTATATGCATTGTGGCATCATTCAGTGCATTGAAAAAGTCCACCAGCACTTGTCCCTTTTGTCCCATTTTCCCAATAACGATTCCGAAGACAAGACAAAAGACTATCAAGCCAAGCACATTAATACCATCGGAATACATGCCCACTATTTTGTATTCCTTAGTTTTATTCTGTAGATTGAGAGTGGAGTAGAAAAATTACCATCAGCAAGTATATGCTTTATTGCTATACAGATTAAACAAATTTGATCTTTTTTTGAGAAACTACAGCAACGTAAGCATGTTTTCAGTTATTTTGTTTGCTACCTGATTTCTTAGGGGAACAGTTCACCTTAAAAGGATTTGACAACAAACCTCTGCGTCAGCTCAGTTTTACTTCCTGGTATTAACTATCACATTTGCAGGTAAAGTTTCTCTAGACAAATTCTTTCTACATCATTTCAGTAGCAATAGTGTAATACAATACACAGTAGTAATCATACCTGGGAAGACTCTGTTGGCATTACAATTGTGACTGGTTCTTCTGTAGGAACAGTGCCATTTTTTACTTTTATTTCTTCACGTTTGGTTTTATACTGCAAGTTAAGAATATAAGTACACTGCATTAATAGGAAACAATAGACTGAAAAGAAACTATATTTTTAAAGCTCCCTTTAGGTTGCAAGTCAATTTTAATAGAGGCTAGAAAACATATGAATACTATTAACTTGCTAAGACCTGATTCAGCCTTTTTAATTATTATTATATTCCAGTTTTCCCTCTTGTCAGGAACCCAAGGTGCCTACAAAGACACAAAGGTGATTTTTCTGCAGTGTAGCCCTGCTGCTAGGGTTTCTTTGTGGATGGATAGGACACTGTTTCACCAGTCTAGGTTATCAGCCGCCTGATAGCAGACTGGGGCTTAGTTTCCACTGGAAAATCACTATCAGGGAGCACAGAATTGTAATGACTCCAAAGTAGGCAAGCATTAGAATGGTTGGAAAAATGGAAACATTATGACATGACTTAGCTACCACTTGTGCCCCTTTATCCACAGTATACCAAGATTCTTTTAGACTCATACCTGGGCTTCAACTAGACCAATGCAACGGTAGTTCTTCACCATTCCAGCTCTTAAATATCAAGGTGCAGTTTGTAAGCATTGGCAAGCCTCATTGAGCCCTGCATGGCATAGAACTAAAACCTAACCAAACCTCATCATCGCTGATCCCTCCTGAATGATATGAAAATAGATTGTGAAGTAGAATCTCCCTTGCTAAGCAAGAGACAAGTTCTTAGGGTGAAGTCAAGGATGACTTTGCTTGGAAGAATGAATGGCTGGCTGGAGTAATACTCTACACCCCAATAAAGAATCATTCTGGAAATTCTATGCTTGGGCAAATAAATATTCCAAGGATAATAATTAAACCAAGGAGAGTGGGATGCTTCCTAACATCAGAAGAGAAAAAGGGTACTGCTGGTGGCATTTTTCTTTTCCTGCCATGGATGTTTAGTGCAAAAAGGTGCCAAGTGCAAGAAGGGCTTTGCATGCATATTTGGCTGTGGCTTCCTTAAGCTTATCAGTGGGCTGAATGGTGCTTCCAGCATGGGCTTTCCACTTTCCCTCCCTCAGGGCCACCTGTTAGGGGATGTTCTCCAGGGACTTGATTAGATTGCTAGTGAAGAATAGGCTATGCACATATTCCAGAGCTTCCAAGTAGAAACTTGAAGCCACTCCTGTGATCTAAATTACTGGAGGTCAGATAGTGTCTCCCTGCTGTTTTCTTACTGCAGGGGTGTAACTTTGTTTAGCATACGTCTTTCAGGCAAAACACAAATTTTGGGAGCCAAGGTGGCAAAGAAATAATTCAAATGGTAGTAGGGCTTACCCTCTTGTTAACAGTTGGTAATATAGTCATATGAAGTACAACTTTGCAATTTTAGATGCCTTGTTGCATAGTAGATATGAAGTTCACTAATCACTGATGGAAGACAGAAAATACCTCCATTTAGCCTGAAGTGCCTGATCTTGCCTAATCTTGGAAGCTAAGCAAACTCAGGCCTGGTTAGGATCTGGATGGGAGACCTGAGTCCTGCACTCAGCAGGTGATTGGATCTGTTGGCCTGCTAAGCCCCTTCTACCTGTATGAGTCTATGATTTCTATGAAAATATATCACCTCTTATCTTCTACAACTGAAGAACTATTAACCAGGTTTCACGTCTCAGTTTACTTTTCTGTCTCTTGTCTTCATTCTACTACTTAACTCGTTCTTACTTCTCCAGACAAACATGTCTTTATTTTTAGTACTAATCCCCAAAGTACAGAGGCTGCAAAAATCCCTTTTCCTTCAAGTCTTTCACCTTGTAAAATATATACATAAAGCCTTACAGGACCTATTTCAGCATTAATGAAGCAGCATCCATGATTTTTTGCTGTACCAGCAGAATAATGGAGCCAGCGGTAAGAGCTTCCAATTTGGTATCTTAATGTAACTCTGAAAGTATGTGTTCATGTTGCTTTGGACTTGAAAACTGCTCTTTGAAGCAGTGGTAATTGGAAAGGAAAGTGGATTTTCTCAGCACACAATGATAAGTTTCTTTTTGGTTGGTCTTATTATTAAGATGTTATTTTTGTAAAACAAAAGTAACCCAAAAGTAATTTCTACTGGGTCCTTGTCTAAAACACTATTTAGTAACATTTCATCTAAGTATTATGTAATATTTTTTAATGAGATATAGAAATAATTGCAGAACATCTGTCAATAAACAGTTGAACCTACCTGTTGAAAACAGGCCTGTACAAGATTTTCTGGAAACATATTCCTGTAAAGAGATTTAAAGATCTCATAACGTAATGATGCGAATATTGCAGAATCAGTAAGGCAGCTTTCATGTGCATGGTGCTTCGCAGAGGTATTGCATTAAAACTTCCAGCAGCCCTAGTGGTTAGTCCTGCTAGTTTAGGCTGATGGAAGCTAAGTCCAAAACAGCTGGAGGTACCAGGTTTGAGAAGGCTGCAGCATGGTATGATGAAATTTTTTTCTCTTTCCTCCAACAATATTCCTATATATCCTATCGGTCTTGAGGTTCTAGAAAGACTTCACTTGGCCATTAGGAACATAAAGTTGCCTAATAATGAGCCTTTCTCTCTCAATATTGTCTAAACTGACTGCCAATAGTTCTCTGGGGCTTTTCTAGGTCAGGTTGGGAGGACATTTTCCCAACCTGACCTAGAAATTCCGGGACCTGAACCTGGGGCTTTCTTGACACAGGCACGTGCTTCTCTACTGAGCTACTGTTCAGACTCCACGAGTGGACCTTTTAGGAGTTAGGTTCACAGCTGATTAGGATTTTTGCTGAATTTTCTCTCTCTGTAAGTTGGAATACAATATGCTATAAAAATATACAATACCTTATTGCATTGACATAGTAGTAGACACCTAAGTAGTGTGGTAGAACTCCTTCTATTTCTAACATTTTCTTTTGGACGAGCACCACATAATTTTGTCTGAGCAGGAAAATAGCATATATCCTGCATTTTTAAAAAAAGAAATTCGCCCTACTGGCTGAGTAAAAAGATGATATGAAATTCATAGGTTGCCCTCTGAGCTTTCTTTAAAAAGGAACACCAAAACTATACTGTTATGTAAAGTCTGTATATTGTCTAAAGTTCTGTAGTATATGGTTATTTCCTATCTCAAATATATATGCTTTAATAGATAGCTTAAAACTGGGATACCAGAACTTATTGTGCAGTCTTTTAAACAACGAAATATTGGATCCAGAGTTAATTGCATATAATGGGTACTTTCCTGTCATTCCATCTAACAGGGGTGCCCTGAATATATACTATCAAGGGTTAGGAGAACCCATTAAATTAGATGGGCTTTGGCCTGAAAGGCATGGGAGCACCCTGAAAGTCTGGTAGAGGCATTGTCTATGAGTAGGTAATGCAGATGGTGTCTCTGTGCAATTGTTGGACTTCAGCTTTCCCATTCAGCACCCCTCCCCCGGGAAAAAACCCAGTGTATCATTTTCAGGGGGCTAGGAAAGCCAGTCTCATTAAACATACTTAAATGGATTTAACCATTATCTCAAATACTTACCTAATTAAGTCTAACATAGCATCCACTGTAGAAACTTCAGGTGTGCTACCCACCCTGTCAATTTCATCAGCTTTCTGAGAAACTCCTGGTTTGATGGTCACAACCAAAACAATCCCTGGAATTCAGAAAAATCCCATTCTGAATACAACCTTTTAACTATAGCATGCAGTCTGTAGACCAGAATTATGCCTACACAAGTATCAGAATTTGGCTCATTCAAAAACTCATTATTATATGACATATAGTCATTATGCCATATATGGAAGATGGTAGGGCTGCAGCTGGATGAAGTATGACCACAAGCCTTTCTGTTAAATGCTGTGGCTGGCTAGAGCAGACAGACAATGGTCTATTTTTGTCAACCCCAAAAATGTTGCTTAGGGCCTACATTGTGTTTTTTTCAGCATGAGGTGGAGATCTTTTTATCTTCTCAGGCTTTTTAGTCCTTTTGTTCAAAAAAAAAAAGTGTGAGTCTCCCTAAAACTCAAAGTTCCCATTCAACATATTATTGTTGTGCTAATTTGAAAAAGCCTTTTTTTACTGTAGCCTGTACATACAAATATCAGTGGCACAAATAATTGTTCCAATCCTGTTCTCACCCAATGTAATAAAAGTCTCTTTAATATCTGTGAGTGCAGCTGCAAATATTACTGCTTCCATAATGTGCAGGCAATTCCATGATTAAGCGGTTTCTTGTTGAATAGGAAATAACTGTATGCCTGTGAAATGATACACAGGGAATTGTACACTGGCAAAAGATCGTAGCTCAGGAGAATGTCTCTAGGTATTACTGATTAGCAAGGTACTTCTACTCATGTGATATTTACATTTGTTCTTACTCTTTAAGATTCTAGGCTAGGTAAGGACTGACATTGCTGATTTGCTAACAAACCCTTTCAAGAAGCCATCATCCTACAGTACAAAGAAATTTAAGGATTACAAAGACTTCAGGAAAGAACTGTGTATTACCTAGGATTACAGCTATGGCTGTAGTGAAGAAGTAGTATACAACTGCCCGTAAGCCAATCTTTCCAGAAACACTGGAGTCCAAAGCAGCGACACCTAGGAAAATTGGGAAAAATAGTACATAAACATTTATAAATGTTGCCTGTGTGCCTACACTGTGGTCTTCTCAGTATCAGATGGAGACTTCTTTTTAAATCTTCCCAGGCCTTTTAGCCATTCATTTGGGAGAAAAAAGGCTCTTACTTTAGTTTTTACTCTGCTTGTATCCTGTTTTAAGTTTGGTAATATTATTTAATTATTGTACTTTCTAAACTGTTTTCTAAGGCCAACTAATACAATTTACAAAACATTTAATTATGCTATTGTATTGGAACTGCAGCCTCCAATCTAGTGCAAGATCTAGAATTTAGGACAATCTATCAATCATTGCCCTGAAACTTATTAAAACATTATTGAAGGGCAGGAGTGGGCAACTCATGGCTCTCCAAATCTTTTGGCCCACAATTCCAATCAGTTCTACCAACATAATGGTAAAGGATGATGGGAGCTGTAGAACAAAATATCTGGAGATCAGCAAGTTAGCCACCCCTGACATACATCACTGTACACCCAAAACAACATTCCTTGGTAACTTATAGAAAATTGACACAGGTAGAGCTTTCTTTAAAAAGTGGAACAACTTTCAAATTTCCCAAGAAAGAAAACCCTCACAAAAGGTGGAAGGTGGTTTGATTTATATTACATACCAATCACATATGTTCGTAGATCCTTTGGTTATATTTTAATGATTTTTTTATAGATAGATTCTTAAGATTTATTCCTATGGACCAACATGCTAACTGAAGCACAGGGTACCCACCCAGCTTGAAGATCCTAATTTCACTGTAAGAAGAAATCTAGTCATGCTATCACACTGGTTCTAGAGGTTCTGGCATGGCACTATTTTGGAACGCCTGTGCTGGAAGGTGCTTCCTTCCAGAACTACGCTAAACACCTATGCATAAAGGGCAAATTTGCCAATATGGTAGGGACTCTCCTTCACCTATTATTCAGATTATTCTGGCTGCTTTTGTCTGCTTGTTGGATGATTTTACATTTCCCCTTAAGTGTACCCAGTGAACATTTGTACCATCTCCCACCATTCCTCTTGTACCAGCCTTTTACTATCCCTGAGGTATTACACAAGGGGGCTGCATAAAATCCTGCTGCACCTGGTCCCCCAGAGATCAATATGATTACCTTTGGACAGCTAGTATGCAGTTGCCATCTTGGTGTGTTAACGGTTTGTCCTACACTACCGGTAGAACTGCAGTCTGGTAAGCACAGCTGATGCCCTTGCACACTGACTTGAGACCAGTGGAAACAGTTTAGCACTTAAAAGGATATAAGCAGAGCCTTCAGTTATTAAGGCTAAACTCCAGAATGGATAAAACTGAGCATTCTATAAGGTAGTACAGTAAGAGCGCTCTGAGCACATACAAAGTGCATTTTTAAAAAATGGCATCACTTTAGTCAGGCCCAAACACCACTAACAGAAACCACCAAAATTGGGAGGCAAGGATTCCATGTCAACAACTATCCCTTTCAGGCAGGCTTGAAATGAAGCATCTTTTTCAGAAGTTAACCACCAATCAAAACTAAAAGTCATCAGTGAACAGGAATCAGGAGTATCTCTTTTCCCTTTCTCAAAGCATCTAGCAAAGCTTGAACAAACCACCTAGCCATTAGAGGCAAACTGACAGAACCCATTTCTCCCTCCATTTCATTTTAGCCCACACAATAAATTGGTCATTAAAGAGAATCAGCAAAAGCATGGCCTGTTTAACTGCCTTTGCCAACACGCTGTATCTGATGGTATCTGCAACCATAAATCCTTTATCTACAGAGACTGATTTTATGCTACACCCTTGGCCAGTTCCCCAGACAATGAACTGTTGTTGTGCTTGCATGAGACAAAAAAATCACCCTCGGAGACAAAAAATCTGACCTCAAGCACCCACCCCATATTCTTTGCTGTGTCATTTAAGAGTGCGGGTATTATGTAACCAATAATTATCAAACATTAAAATGAGCTCTTTTGGAACAGGATGTGCAGTAGGGGTTTATAGAAACAACCACTTCAGTGTGTAATTTGGAGTAGTTACCTTTTACAATGCGGTTGTGCTTTGTGCACAAGTCAGCAATGAAGTGGCTGATCTACTGCATGCAGTGTCCTAAGTATGATATCTTCTATCACATAAATCTGTAAGAGTTGTGGTATTCCAAAATACATAATATGAGTTGGAAAAACACGTCCTACCTCATGTTGAGATCTTGCATGCACCCAGAATCAGCATGCACATAAACCAGTTTACCCATGTCACTTGGCAAGGACAGAATTCCAAATTCTGACTGCACACTCCAAAGCAATCACACAACAATCCCTGTGCAAGCTCCAGGGCAACCCCATTCAATAAATAAAATAAATAAACTTGGCCCTGAGATACCACTGCTTTCCTAGATAGTTATTTGGATGTGCAGATTTGCACAAGAGTTTCTGTACTACATGGCCAAGATCAGATCGGCCTCACAAATTTCACTCTTTACTTCCCAACTGATGACCGTGGGAACAAGAAACAGCCTTGATTTACTGAAGCCTTGATTCTTCACTTCCTGCCTAGTGTTCATTTGCATGTTTACGTGCAGGGTAGGGGCATCTGCCTGTCCAGCTGCCAATGCTGTGGGCCGCACTGGCTCTAGCCCCCATCACTACATATGCATACATTTTTAGTGCTCTACCTGTGAAAGTACTTATGGTTTCTATGGTGTACCCATAGAAAAACAAGCTCTCCTGTGCCTGGAACGTATTACTCTGATATGACCTCTTAAACCTTTTTAACGTATTCTTTCAGATAGAAGCAATACATTCAGAAGATAAAAAGAATAAAGGGAAGACTTCCTATTACCAGTTTTTCCCCTTGTGAATGGAAATGGCAGTCAGCCTTGACAGTTTTGTTTGTGTACAACTCATGATTTCTGTTTTCACTGGACACTGTTTAAGGGTGCAAGGGGATCAGTCTCTATTGTGTGGGAAGTGCTAAGCAGGGATGCTGCCAGAAAATTCATTTCCCAGGACTCCAGATGTATTTCCCAGAGCCCTGAGTATCTATCAGTGCCATAGAAGATCGCCCCTACTCCAGCTTAATTGTGATATGGGGGGAGATTTTCAAGGCAAAATGCAGGGGCAGGGAGAAAAGGGTACCCCTTCCTTCCCCACATGCTGCTTAACTGCATGGCAATAAAGTTTAGGAAAAAATCTTCCACTCTTACCATGTAGCAGGGATTTCAGGATTTCACTCCCCCTCCTAAAGAGCTACCCCTCCCCATACCAATTAAGCCTAGGAAAACAATTTTCTATTGATGTATGGGGTAGGGGCAATTTTTTTGCAGAAGGGGAAGGGAGGGGAGAGGGGCAGGGAAAGCAGAGGGAGTGCTAGAGAGAGGTAAGTAGGAAGAGAAAATATGTTTATTACTCTCCAAAAAGATTAAACAATTTGGATAGGAGGCCCCTCTCCAGATACCCATGTGTAATGAATGTGCATGGCATAGCATCTTTTAATCCTTCTATGCTGCATTACCTATCATGGCACACACAGAGGTGGCATTTAGAGCTGGGCTTCGGAGCTTTCTCTTCTCCTGTCTTCTTGGTTTATGTGTATGTGTTGGGATGGGGAGATGAGTCACAAATCCCCAATACATGGAGAAACAACTCCAGGACCAGTACAACAGAGAAAGGGAGAGCACCATTATCCCTCCTGCTTCTTTCCTTTCCCAGAATCTTTTTCTTCTTCAGCCCTTGCTCATTTTTTTCCGTTGATCTCCACAAAACTGCTTCTTTCTTCCTTTCTGCTCAAGAAAGGTATACTGGTAATCCCCCACATTTCTTTTCACAGCTTCCTTCTTATCTCAGGTTAATGTCTTGAACATTATTGGGTGGTACCTTAACACATACTAATCACTATGCACCCTAACCTTCACTGAACTGAACAGAAACTGTCAAGGAACAACGCATTATTGTGCAAATTCCATTCCTATTGTCCTCACTGAAATATCCAACCCTGATACTAAGTTATGTAGGAGTCAGCTGTTTTCATGTGCCTTGTGCCTGTATGAACCTTTGTAGTTTGCGACTTTTCTAGGATGATTCTAGCTGAGGCCCTATCTTGCAATGGCCCTGCCTCAGGTGCAGGAATTTATTGGGTGTCTAAATAATATAATCTTCCTTTTGCACTTTCTTGTGTTTTCCCATTGCTTAATTAATCTTTTTTCTTAGCAGAAAAAACTCTTTTGTAAGGAGGAAAAGAGGGAACAGGTTCTTTTTTTTTTTTTTTTTAAATTTGCAAGGTTCGGTGCATCTACCTGGATCTGGCTTAGGTGCATCCTAGAATTTATTTATGTACTACAGTTCAATACTGCCTTGTAGCTAAAACTATCTAGGATGTTCACAACAAACATGATGAGATGTTTGGATAAGAATATTTCAACTAACTTACACCAATCTGTCATGCCTGTTTGTTTGGTTTAAACAGACATTGCATAATGTCCCTTATCCCAATCATTTCCCTACCATCCCTCATCAACTATCAGAACTTTTGTTCTTTTTTTTCTTGTAATGTTTCACATAATTCAGAATGCGACAATCTCCACCTATTTATCCTTCTCTGTCCAAGCATCTCATCATGTTTGTTGTTTTCCCCATTTATTTATTTATTTAGAACATTTCTAACCCATCCTTCACAACAGCATCTCAGGATGGCTTACCAAGCTTAAAACCAAGAAAAATAAAAACAATCAATAATACAATAGACGATAATAGCAATAATACAATCAATAATAATAAAAATACAACCAGAGAAAATGAGCAAGTACATTCAAAAGAGAAAGAAAATATAAATAATTATTTTTTTTAAAAAGCGACTGATTCTAAAATCCCTAATTCTTAAAATGACATTCAAATAAAAAGGTTTTCACCTGGCATCAAAAAGAGTATAGGCTCGGCGCCAGGCAAACCTTTTAACATAGAAAGTGGCTGTGATTCTAATCCTTTAGAGAAAAAA